CGGCCGGCCCCCCTCGCAGCCCCACCCGCGGCCCCACGCACGCGCCCTCCGACCTTTGGGGCTGCTGGGGAGCGGAGTCACTCCTGCCTCTGCGGCCTGGTTTCCCCCTAGGCCTGCTATTCGGGCATTTTCCCTACACCGCGACTTCTCCTAAGGCTGATGGCCTTTGCTCCGTGCCATTCCCGGGCCCTGGTCTGCAGCCCGACAGTCAGGAGGGCCGTGTGAGGGTCGCGACACTGCAGGGACACTGTGCTTTCTCAGGCAGGCCGATCAACCCTGCACGCCTCACAGCCCTTGGGCCACGGGTCAGGCTGCAAGTGGGAGACCCGAGGCGGGGTAGCCCTTCGGGGGCCCGCTCTGGGCCTCGACTCTGGATAGGCTCGGGGCCAGGCCCACATCCTGCAGGAAATCCCACCCGCCGGCCCTGTGGCCGCCACCGCTTAAGGTGGATTGGTGTCCGAGGACGTCTGTCGCCCGAGCTGTGGCCAGAAGGGCTGGGCTCCTGCGCCGGCTTCGCCTGGCAGGCAGCGGCCGTTACCTTTCCTGTGGACCCCATCAAGTTCCACTGCCTCCCAGCGCAAGGGCTTCTAGTCCTGGCCACTCCAGCTGTAACCTCCCCCAAACCCAGGCCCATTAGAGCCCTCCCTAGGTGAGGATACTTGGCAGGCACTCGCACTCTCCCTGGGTATCTGCTCCTTCATAGCCAGCACACAGTAGCCACCTCCTCCCTGACACACTGCCCCAAGTTCTAAGCACCCAGCCAGGTCCTCAGCGTGGACTGTGGGCTGTCACAGGTAACCCGGGACCCGGGCCTCTAATGCAGCTAGCCATCCGACAGCACGCAGTGATGAGCAGGTGGTCTCACTCCAGGAGGCCCCGCACCGGGAGGGCGCTCTCAGCACTGAAGAGGACCCTAAGGCAGTGCAAGGGACCGGGCACAGGGGCAGGCAGAGCACACATCCCCTCAGCTTTGGGTTACAAATACCTTTCCGGCAGAATAGCATCCCGTCCACGGCCTTGCTCTCGCTCCCGTCTTTCTGCAGCCCAGAACACGGGAAGCTCAGCCTTCATCATGAGGGGCCATTCCCACAGACCCCGCCGTTTGAAATGTTCCTTCTTCCAACTTTCAGACTGCAGGGATTATAGGTGGGCGTTACCTTATCCCGCTGTGCTTTGTGGAGTGTGGTACTGTTCTTAGTGTGAAATTTCAGTCTTGCTCTTACCCATATAAGGTGAATCCTCCCTTAGCCCAAGATACCTGCTCACTTGATACCCAGTAACCTTTATGTGTGGCAGTGCTTCTTTTCAAGTTACCTTTATTTTACTTAATGGCCCCAAAGTTCAAGAATAGTGATGCTGGCTCAACAGCTGTAAAGTGCTTCCTTTAAGTGGAAAAGTTAGTTTCAATTTAATTAGGAATTAGCTGGGCATGACCGCACAAGCCTGTAATCCCAACACTTGGAAGTTTGAGGCAAGAGAATCACTACCAATTTGTGGCCAGCCTGCACTAATCAGAGACAAAGGCCAACCTTAACTAGGTAGCAAGACTGCCTCTGAAAAACAGAATAAGAGCCAGGCATGGTGGCACACACCTTGACCCAGCACTTGGGAGGCTGAGGTAGAAGGCCTACCTTGAGTTCAAAGCCAGCCTTTAAGACTTTGTCTAAAAACAAGGTACGCTCAAGTTGCTAAGATTTACAGTACAAGATATTCTGAAGATAGACAACAGAAAAAATACTGTAATCCAGCATGGATAAAAGTGTACCTTGATTTAGTACAGTTGTTTTGTGTTTTAGTCTGGTAGTCTGGCAGTTAATGTTTATGATTAATGGTTTTTTTTTTGGTACCAGGGATGGAACTCAGGTCCGTGTGCTTGCGAGGCAGGTGGTGGAACCACTGAGCTAAATCCCCAGCCCAAAATATTTGGAATTTTTTTTCCACTACCAGGGATCAAACTTAGGACCTTGCGCTTGCACACTGCCACTGAGCTAAAGCCCCACCAAACAGACTTAAAAAAAAAAAAAGATCCTTGGGGCCAGGGATTTAGCTCAGTGGTTCCATCACCTGCTTCGCAAGCACAAGGACCTGAGTTTGATCCCTGGTACCAAAAAACTAAATAAAAGGAAAGAAAAAGAAAGAAAAGATAAGATACTTTAGGGGCTGGGGCTTTAGCTCAGTGGCAATGCGCCTGCCCCACAAGCACAAGGTCCACAAGTTTGACCCCTGGTTACCCCCCCAAAAGGTACTTTGAAACTATATCCACTTAGTACAGCATTATTACAATTTTTCTATTTTATTAAGGTGTTTAGTATCTTGTGTCCAATTTACAAACTGTCTTAGGTACATAGAGGAGAAAATCTAGTTTTTTGTTTTGTTTTTTTGGTCCAGGGATTGAACTCAGGTCCTTGTGCTTGCAAGGCAGGCGGCAGAACCACTGAGCTAAATCCCCGGCCCATGAAAATCTAGTTTTACAGGGCTTGATACTACCTGAGGTTTCAGGGGGTCCTGGAATATCACTGTGGGAAAGGTGGGCCTGCCTGTATTTCTTGTAAGAACTCTGGCAAGTTAAGACTTCTGTCAAAGGGAGCCCACCAGGAAAAGTGCCAAGCTAGGTGGCTTACACCAGCCCCTGTTGGCGTCCTTATCAACATATACTATGATCAACATGACTGATGTTTGGACGCAGGCCTCCTACTCGCTTCCTTTTGCAGTATCAGCAAACCACTTCCTCAATGGTACCCAACAAGCACAAGATAAGTGTCCCCAGCAATCCTGAGGAGTCTTTTTGCTACCCGGACTCCCCAAGGCGAAAAGGTTCAGCCTGGAGTCATAGGGGAACCCAAAGCAAAGAAACTGTTAAGCTTCAATGCTGAAAGGGGTACCTAACAGCCAAGGGCTTCTTTAAAGATGAAAAGCATGGGGACACAGCCTTTTGTATGCATCAGTGTATCACCTGATTGCCATGACTACTGGCCTGGAGTGGGGTTTACCTGAATACAGCACAGTGAGGAGCCACCTATGGTAAACTAAGCCATAATTCCAATGCATCAGGAGCTTCCTATCTTCTTGGGGTGGAAAGAGTCCAACCAAGCTGCCAACTTGCTGGAAACAACTTGCAAAGCCCCTGGCAGGCAGGACACAATGGAGACACTGAGTGAAGTCTTCAATTGTGCCTTTAAAACCTAGCCAGGGATAGTGATGCACACTTGTTAATCCCAGCACTTAGAAGGCTAAGGCAGGAGGTTAAAGTCCAAGCCCAGCCTGGGCAAACAGTGGACTCAAGGATAGATAGTTTCAGCTACAGAGCAAGACAATTTCAAAAAACCACAGAAGGGCCAGGGATTTAGCTCAGTGGTGCCACCACCTGCCTCACAAGTGCAAGGACCCACGTTCAATCCCCAGTACCAAAAAACCCACACCAAAACAAAAAAACAGCAAACCACAAAACAAAAACCCAAGAACAGTTGTGTTTGGAAATGAATTACTCCCACCAGGACAAAGGACTTGTGTTCAACGAGGACACGTGGCCACAAGACAGGATAGAGACACAACAGGAGCTAGCTGATAGGCTAACACGCAACCACGAAGAGCAAGAAACAAGAACAGTGAGCAGGTAGCTCATTGGCGGCAGACTGCCACTGGAGACATGATACAAGATCCTCTTGTGGCCAGGTCCCCAGAGCTCTCTCTCTCAAGTCATCCCACATCACATTATGACAGCAAGATCACACTTAAAAAAAAAAAAGCCTCTCATAGACTAAAAACACTTCTCTCAAGATGGTATCTACAGAGATCTGTTTTGTGACTGACCCCCAAAATGGACCCTTGAAAATGTTTTTATTTGATGCTATTGTAAACAATAATGCTGAGTTTAGACTTTAAGCCTAGGTCCAGAGCCAAATGAAAATTTTCTCTGAGGATGCGGTAGGGTATCTGACAGGGACTCCCACAGGAGGGCCACAGGACTGGGGGCTATGCTGACTGCTCTGCCCACTGAGGCAAAACAAAACCAGCACTTGCCAAAGCCTGGAGATCTGTTCAGCTGGCTCCTATCTCCTACACCAGAGCCAATATACTGTGGTAGTCCTCCTGTCCCCAACACACACAAACGCAGCCTACCTCTCCTCACCACAGTGCACACCTCAGCCCTGAGCACTGACCCTCAGCTGTGGCCTAGGATGCCCAGCCCACAAGGCAGCACCGGCGCTGTTCGGACACTGTCCTACAGGACCCAAAAGCAGCAGCAGCAGTTGTCCAGTCTCAGCAAGGCAAGAGCACAACCTCAGCCACGTGAGGGGGTGTCCCAGGAAGTCAAGCTGTGGTGACACGGAGACCTGCTGCCACTGCTGCAGACGGACTTGGACGTGTACTCAAGCCATACAGATGGGTGCCCGGGTGCCAGCAGGACAGTCGTGTCACCACATGGGCCCACACACAAAGGCCTGCCATCTGGTCCAGGTTTCAAATGCATTTTTTTATTTACTATTTTTGATGACTATAAATAAGTGTTTCCACTATGGAAAAGAAAGTTAGCACAGTACATTTTCATGACTGGGGAATGGATTTTCTGAAGTCATCTTCAATAGGGTAAAAACTTAGAAAAACAAAACAAAAATGGTCTGAATATCGAGATTCAGTTCTTTTATATAAAGTCCCTTGTAGAAACAAAACAGAATTAAAAATAAAACAAAAAGAAGCGGGAGGGGAAAATTTTAAAAAGAAAAGAAAGGAAGGAAAGGGAGAGAAGTTAAAGAGGACTCATTGCTTGTCTGACTTCTCTTCAGTCTCCTCTCCAGGGTCCTTGTTCTCCTCCTTCACAGACAGAGCTTCTAGCTTTTCAGCGACTTTTTCCGCATTATCATTTTTGCCTATTCCTGCCGAACAAAACACAAAGTAAGCACAGCAAAAGAAAAAACAAAGCTTCTTAAGACTCAGCCAGGACAAGTTCAGGAGCCACCTCATTCACCTCATCACCCTCCACACACACGCTTGCCAGCTGAGCTAAGACAGCAGCAAATGCTGCTGGCTCCTCCTGCTGGGAAGTTCAGTGACACATGCTCACCTGCCATAGCAGCCACCATCTGCACCTGAGGAGCAAGAGACTGAGTCCCCGGGAAAATGAGGACATTCTCAGTGTACCTTTAGCCCATCATAGGTTCCAGAGTCAAGACTCAACTGGTTTCTTAGACAAGAGCAATGTGAGTCCAAATGACAATGAACACAGCTTGGAGGCCTACCAGAAAGCATTCTATGTGCCCAGAAAGCTGCATCACCCCCAAAAGATCAAGGTTGCCACAGCTCCCTGGAAAGGTTCTCTGGCAGACGGAAAAAGCACCTGCCTGGAGGCTGCAGCCAAGTGCAGAGTGAGTCTGCAAAGGAAAACACCACCACCGCTTACACCACCACCCCATGTCACCTTTTTTTTCTCTCTCTTCAATCTCTTTCCTGCATTCTTCAAACTTTGTTTTAAATTTTTGTGCATCTGTGGAAAGAAAAGCAATGATTTATTAAGAGTGCTGAGCATGCAAAGGATATATCCTGGAGGACACGAAGAGGCAGAGTTCAGAGGGCCTTGTCCCATGGCAACTTCTGACCCAAAGAAGGGCCAAACTGTATGACACCTACAGTGAGTGACCATTCACTGAGTCCCTCCTGAGGCTGACGGCTGTGCTAGACCACCTTCATTAGTCTTAACAATTTGGACAACCAAAGGTTGGGATGCTTCCTTGCCCCTGTATTAGAAAGGGCAGGACAGCCCCATTCCCAACGCAAGGGCAAGGCTGAGCATCAGACCATCAGTCAACGGGGCACTGTCCACTGCATACTCCAACTCCTCCAAGATTCACTGGGCACAGCTTTTGACAATCCAGATGGGAAAGAAACCAGAGCAGGTGAATCACCCTGGGCTTGGGGATCTCTGCTGATTCCTGGTGCTCACGCAACCAGAACAGGGCATCATTACTCCTGGCACTGCAAAAAAGCAGTAGGACTTTAACGTTGGGTACACATGCTCGATAGGAACTGGAGTTTAGGCAGCAAACCAAGTGCCAGACCCAAGACTGCTCAGTGGACACTTGTTCAGCAGTTCAGCACAGATACCTTGGAATTTAACAGATCAGCACTGTCCTCAGTCACTGTCAACTTCCACGCAAAGCTTTTGTTTGCAGTTAAATCACTGCACTGCCAGGCAGGCAGATCCCCAGTACCCCCTTCTGCTTACTCTCAGCATTTAGGAAGCGGATGGCAAGCAGCTCCGGCTTGGGGTACTCATCGGCGAAGTCAGCATGGGTATTCCAGACCCAGGCGCGGTCGCTGCCAGCATTTGGTTTTAGCTCCATCATGGGTGTGACTATGGGGAAAGAAGCCTATGAGGATGGCGAAGGCCACTGAGGCCAGCCCAGCCACCCTGCAGCCAGGGAGTCCCACTCACTGGCTCACTTTAGGTAAGAGAGACAGTTTAGGGTCTGAGAATCAGGCATAGTAAAACTCCCACAGGGGTCTGAATTTTATCCAAACCTCTTTGAAAATGCTCCACGTTCAGTCAAAACCACAACTATCCTGTATGTGGGAAGAGCATAGCCTGCTCCCTCATCATAAGGACACTCAGCAAAGGTCTTCTGAACCATCACCTTAGGACCACTTAGTCTATAAAACCTACCTTCACAAAAAGGCGAACATAGGCAAAGCAGGCTCTAGCCCAATTCCAGCCCTTTGGTCCAAACCCTGGCTGTGCAGTCCTAAGACCCCATGGTATACATTCAAGGTACAGGCCAAGAGGGCCAGCTTTTCCTAACAGCACTAACACGTGGCTACATCCACACTCATTGATACCATTACGGACCTGGCTAGTGGGAAGATTGGGGGCAGTGGAGGGAAAGAAGCTTAGAGGCAGAAGCATCACCCAGAGGGAGACACGGTCAGGCTGGCAACCACTCTCAACCCTCTACAGTCCAGAGACCGCTAAGGGATGAGGTAACAAGCAGTAGACACCAGAGTCCCACAAGAGACACTTCAATGGCACAGAAGACAAAACTGTGGCCCAAAATAAATACGCTTATCCTGAATTCCTCAGGTCCCACACAAACCCAAGGGCAGCTGAGTACATATAAGTCCCAGCACCAAGCAGGGAGCTGCCCTCAAAGGATAGCTGTCGGGACTGGGATTTGGCTCACTGGTTCATTCCACTGCCTACCTCGCAAGCACAAAGGCCCGAGTTCGATCCCTGGAAAGGAAAGCCTGTCCACAGATGGCCGTGTAGCTGACAACTCACCAGGAAGGTTCCCAAAGACCAGGTGTGCCCTGGTGCCTGTGCCTAGTCAGTACCCCTTCTGCCCCCTTTACTCCCCTGGCAGAGGTCTCCAGAAACTCCAGGGGACTAATGGACCCCTTGCCACTCTCAATAACCATAGCTGAAACCAGCTCAGGGATCTTATCCACTGCATGCTGAGCACTGCATACCTCTTCTGCATCCTACTTGGCCTGGCCTTCACCCAGTGACCACCATCCTCTCATCCACTGAGGGCCAATGATGGGTACTGGGCATTGCTGGCCATGTCAGCAGCTCTGCCCAGACGCTCAAGCTTCTCACAGAAACTACGCAGGAACCCAATCAGACCAGAGCCAGCTCCCAAGGAAGTTCTTCATTCAGGTTCAGAGCGGAAAAGGCAAGAGGCAACCATGGTGCAGGGCAGAACTGAAGTCTTTCTCGTGCCACTGCAAACCCATGCACCCTTGCTATCACCCTTAAGGGCCACTCAACTCCAGTCTCTGCCTGCAATCACCTCTGGGCCCAGGACAAGGGTCTCTGCCCCACTAGATACAAATTAAGCTCAGAAAACAGACTTGGCACTAGGCAGTCCAGCACGGGACAGTCTGGATGCACATGTGAACACGGCACCCAGACAAACACAGCAGAGGGGACCCACTGCTGCTACTTCTGGCCGCACCCCACACTCCAAGCTCCACCACAGGACTGCTCTCAGTTCAGAGTTTAAACTCAACAAGCATCACAAACATGCTCTGCATGAAGCATTGCACTCCCGAGTGCCGAGCTCAGGGTCAGACGCTGTCCCAGAGACAACCTACTGTAGTGGTTGGCACAGATCTTCAAGGTCTTGTCCCTCCTCATTAGGAGGCGGATGGTCCCCTTATCCTTATGCTTCAGGAGCTTGACGTCACCGGTGCCTCGTTCCTTCCATTCTGGGCTATCATTTTCTGAAGCAAATCGGAACAACTTTGCTCGCCTGTGAGAAAAACCATTAATGAACGCTTAGCCTGCGGAGAAGGGAATCCACACCCCCTAAATGTTTCATCAAAAATAAAGTGAAGGGAGGGTGGGGATAAGGGGAAAAAATGAGAACCAAGACCTGGCATGTAAAGGTACAAGATCCCAGTAATGAATGTAACTGTACTGTATACCTGAAATGTACCAATAAATTCAATTTAAATTTAAAAAAAAAAAAAAAACTAATAAAAACAAAACAAAACAAAAAAACATTTGTTCACTTCATTAAACATGTGGTACAACTCTGCACTGTGGGACCCTGTGTCGGTATAAACACCCTTTCCTGCCTTCAGGCTCCAAAAGCTACTAGGCAAGGCCTGGGGATTTAGCTCAGTGGTTCCACCACCTGCCTCACAACTGCAAGGATCCGAGTTCGACCCCTGGTACCAAAAAACAAAAAACAAAAGCTATTAGGCAAAATGCTACTCAAATGAGAACAGCCCAACAAATTCCAAGTTGTTTTTACTTCACAACCAAAAATAAGACATCTATTCTCCCTAACAGAAATGTGACCTCTCAAAGGTACATGGGCCCCACGTGGTTTTAAAGCCCTCAGTGGGTTGGGCATCCTAATCACCATGCAGGAGCACCCCACACCACAAAGAGCCATAGGGACCTCAGCCTCCACAGGGCCAGGACTTCCCTCACCTGTGAAAGACGTCCCTGTTCTCCTCATAGCCCCCCACACAGAGAACAAGCCTGTAGACACTATCTTCACAAGGTTTGTTAACAGGAGGCCCAAGAGCCCAAAGAGCTGGCCTTGTGTCCCACAGCAATAGTTCCTGTCCAAATAGAGTATTTTCACCCCCATGTGGATGGAGATGGCAGAAGCAAACATCCTGTCCCCTTAGGGAGGAGTCATTACCCCCTCCCGGGGTGGGGGTGGGCCTGCAACATCCCTTAGGTGGAACAGAAATCTAGTGATCCGGTCTGGTGTTTTTAGGAAAATGCCCCTCTCCCAACTCCTGGGGCCAGAGGTACCTGTAGCTCTTCTTTCTTGCCTAGATCTTCCTCTCCAGCCCACTTCTTTGGAGGGAGGTTCAGTGTTCCCTACCTCAGAATAGCCAAACTATAACCTGACATTTTGGATGTGCTTCAAAGAGGAAAGGGGTTTTCCTAGGAAAAACGACCTTACTTTCACTAACGTGTAACAATTCTGAGTGTAGGCAGTGGGCCAATCTCTGTGGTGCTGACATCCCAAGGCACAAAGCTTGTAGCCAGCACTGCTTCAAAACCACATTGGCCACCGCAAGTCTTCACTGAAGGCACCAAGTGGCATTTGTAGAGTAATTTTTAAACAGGGACCTTGATACCTGAGTCACCACCCATTTTCCTTGTATTTCCAGGCATTATTTCGCACAGGAAAGAATTAAGTAGGTGACTCATGCTTCAGTCCGCTAAAGTCATCTACCAGTTTGTGTCCTCAAAGTTCATATATTAGAAGCTTTAGGGCTCAGTGGTTCTGGTGCCTGCCTCACAAGCGTTAAGGACCCGAGTTCGATCCCAGGCGCCAAAAAAAACAAAAACAGAAACTTTAATCCCAAATTCAGGCCTTTGGAAGTGGGGATCTCTGGGAAGTAAAAAGAACCAGATGAGTACAAGAACATGAGGCCCTCATGATGCCATTAGTGCCTTTGTGAGAGGAAGAGGTCCAACCTAGCACGCTTGGCTCTGTCTTACCATGTGATATCCCCTATCACCTTAAACTGCAATATGAGCTCCTCATCAGAGCCTGGCACCAAGCTCTTGGACTTCCTGGCCTCCAGAATAAGCTAAAAACACCTCTACTCTTTAATACGATCCAGTCAGTGGTATCCAATTGTAGCAACAAAAACCAGAATGAGATACAGTTCAAGCTGCAAAAAGTTAAGATTCCTTACTTAACCAAGGGAAGGGTACTGTGAATTCTTGGAAGCAAGGTGGCAAGGAAGGCCAGCAGTGGCACCCACAAAGACTAGTCAAATTAATTTTCACATGGGAGCCAGATAACGTAGCTCAGTGGCACTGCGCCTGCCTGGCAAGGGCAAGGTCCTGCGTTCAATCCCAGGAACCAAAGACAAAAAAATTCCACATGGGGTTAGCCCTTTCTTCAAGCATCCTTGGGTAAGTCAGGCCAATAGGAGTCAGAACTCCCAGTGTGGCTGCCTTCTCGAGGAAGTCAAGAAGAAAGCTTATATAGTTTGAAATGCTCATTATCACCACTTCAGAGTAATCAGAACTGGGCATTTTGCACTGCATCTTTGAAGAAAGTAGGTAGCATAAATTAGGGTCACCCTAGGATGCATATCCTACAAAAATCTACTTTATTGAGGATGGGAGGGTGAGAATCAAGTTCTTTTGTAACTGTCTTAATAATTTTGATTTTGTGGCAGAGATACCTATTTCTGGAGCAACATCAACCTACTTACATTTTAAAAAGTTCCTCCTCATCTTCCTCCAGCGTTTTAATTTCTTGCTCGGGAAGAGAAACTATTGGTTCAAACTGGGGGTCATGGTTGGACTCATCTGCATTCTCAGTAGAGGTATCATGGTCCTCATGAGTATCCTGAAAAGAAAAGTGAGAAGTGATGTTGCTGGCTCATGGACTTGGCCTGCAGCCAGAGCTCAGTAGTGCCCAGTAGGCATCCCCAATAAGTGGCATCTGGAGCACAGAACAGGCCTCATCCTACTTTGGAAATTAAACCCACAGCCTTTCCCATTAGTAAAGATTTACATTTATGTTCAGCTCCACAAAAACCACAGTGTAAGCATGCAAGACCCTAGATCTCCGAAAACTTCCCCTAAATTCAATTATGAGTTCCACGTTCATGGACTGTGGCTCCTTGGAGAGTAGTGAGAAACTCTCACTTCTGCTCCATGTGAAAATCAAAACACAACAATAAATCAGGAGGAGGGTTAGCCTTAAAACAAAAAGGAATCAATAACTGAAATATCCGTGCTCTTGCTTACTACAAGGACAACAAAGTGCTGAGACTGCTAGTATTTACATATTTCTTCAGCAATCTTACTTTGGCTTGGAAAATTAAGTTGATAGTTTGCTAAGAAAAGTTCCACAAGTATAAGGCATAATAAGATTCCGACCCAATTTAGAAAATTTTTGAGCACAAACTCTTATTTTTGGCCTAAGTCTCTCAAAATATGTGCCCTGGTGATCTAGAAGAAATCCTACACTCGCTTTCAAACTCAGACGTGGAAGGTTAAGTACAAGATCCTTGCTGCTCTTCCTTTGGTTTCACAGCACTGCGGCTCCTTTGCGGCCAGCACCAGACCAGACACCAGCAGCCAACAAAGCCGCCCCCGCCCTGGATCGGGGCATCCACTACCCGTTCTCACCCACCCAGAAACGTAAGCTTCAGCCACAGAAGCCGGTGGTGGTTCCAGACATAACGTCCGAATGAATGAAGGGCTGCGTGGGCGACACGAGGGAAGGATGTACAGTTCTAGTGGGAAGCCCGTAAATGTGGGCCGAACCGGAGGAAACTAGTCGCCTGTCCCGATCCCGCGGAGGGGCCGCCCTGCTTGGCGATAGCTGTTCTCCGACCCACCCCAAGGTCACGCGGGCATCCTACAGTCCACGCAACCAGAAACTGCGCTCCAAGGCCCCACGTGCCCCGACCCCACAGGCCTCGAGCCTTCAGGCCCCGCACGCTCCAACTCCGAGCTCAACAGGCCCGGAGTCCGATCACAGATGGGGGTTGGAAGCAGAAGCGCGGGCCGCCCACGTGGCCGCCCATAGCGGCCACAGCCCCCCGATCCCCGCCCGCCCAG